ATGCAAATTAATTTAATTAATTAATTTTTAATTTATCTGCATTAATTGATAAACTAAATAAAAGAATCATATATATTTCATGTTGGCAAAAAAGGAAATTCAGCAAAAGGAAATAAAAGTAATTTCAACAAAAGTACATAGTAATGCTGTATTATTTTATTTATAACTAGACGTTATAATAAAATAAAAATAAATATTTTTGTAACTTTCTCAGAGCAGTGAAAATTAAAGACGGATTACTAATTAAACATGTATATTAAACAAATTAACAGTTTTAACGCTTGACCTATATCTTTATTCTATAAAAGCTACCACCAAACTAAAACCTTGACTACTAGTAAAAGCTTTTACAAAGGACATAGAGTGCGCTATGCGCGCTTCTTTACCAAATTATTCAAAATCAAAATAAATATTAATGCTTTCTTCGTTTTCTAGGTAAGCCTATAGCAGTTAAAGATCGTCCTTTCGGTCCTACCTCTTTGTTTAATGGTGCTCTAAAAAATACATACATATTAGATTATTTTTAAGCAAGTAGCAGATTTATGTTAATTCAACTAACGGGTAAAGATATGCTAGCTAAATATGGTTGACATCGCCCTTATTCCCCAGTTGTCCAAAAAATGAGCAATAGTGGATTCTTTGACTCTTATGTCCAATTTTGGGAATACGATATTTTGCACATAGCATTATACTCATATACCTATAGTTATAGGTATATGATTATACTACAAAGACATGTATTTTTTCCGAAATTTCGAGTTATTCCCATTCATGAGGCAGTTGAGTTTGATAGTCGTAATACCCCTCCCTAATATAAGTAAGGTAATCCCTCGAAACGTTTTCGAGATTTTGTGAATATCGCGGCTTACTACGATTATATGCCAATTTATCGAAAATTGACGTTATTTCCCAGTTTAGTCCAAAAAATGAGCAATAGTGAATTATTTGACTTACGTGTAATTTTGAGAATACGATATTGTGCATATAGCATTATACTACAGGGTGTTAAAAAAAGGGATGTTTTTTTCTTCAAAATTTCAAATCCCCATTCACAGGGCAGTTGAGCTTGATAGTAGTAATACCCCCATAAGATTTTCAAAATCGATTTAGTAATTTTTCAATAACGAGCTTTCAAATATTTTCCAAAAAACTAGGTGAGTCGATTTTTATGACGAGCAGTTTATTTACAAGACAAAGGAAACCCAAAATATGGATATAGGATGAACAGGGAAACCCAATTGCAATTGTCACCCTTGAAGAAGTTCTGGAGAAATGGCGCGAATATTTCGTAGAACTGTACAAAGACGCCGAACAGGACAGCATCCCAGATAGCACAAGAGGTACCCAGGACGTCCATTTCGGCCCGAAATTTTCGGGTCCCACATAGGTCCGAACATCCCAGACTTATATCGTAAGTTTTGGGTACGTCTAGTCTCTTACTTATTTGGGAAAACTAAAGCGGATATACTCGGTACGCCCCAAGGACGTAATTTTTGTTTTTTTAGTAATTGAAGCATGTTATTTTCATGCCAAGTTGGTTAAATAATATATTATAATTTAAAAATAGTTTGTGTCATGCAGAATGACTTAAAAAATATATTCCAACAAATATTTTGCACATATGTGCAAAATATTTGTTTATCATTGATAACTCACAAATTTATTTTTTTCACTTAAACCCTTTGGGAATACCACTCTTGAATTCTGTAAAGCTTGTCCAATAGTCCCCAATAAAGCATTTCAGGACGGCCAGAGGATGTCTTACTTAGGACGTTCTGGGGACCGACGATTTGGTAACATCGGATATCGCTGGTACGTCTTGGGGAAGGTTCAGGACCTGATTCGGACGTACTCGGGACTAATGTCTGATACAAGATATACTCAGGACGTTTCCAGTACTTCTTTGTGCTATCTGGGATTAACATATGTTGGATAATACATTATCATTTCAAGATGTTTGGTTCTTTTTGTGCATAAAAAGTGACGGCAGACAATTCAACAACTGTGTCGAGAGGGCATTGGCACAATACATATACAGGGTGTCCTGAAATTAGTGCACCATACTTTAACAGCAGATTCCAAGTGCAAAAATAAGAAAAAAGTCCCTATAAATATAGATCGAGAAATGCCTCCTAAGGCAGCTACAGCCCCCGAAAAGGGAGCCCCTGAATATGGTTTTTAACTAATTTTTATAAAAAAGTAGAAACACCCTGTCACTTACTACATGAAACTGTCACCTGTCTTGAATTATTCTATTTTTTCCTAAACATGGCAGTCGTATTCCAAGGACCAAGCGAGTCCATTTCTATGGTTGTGATTTAATTGTGAATTTTTATGCCATGTAATAGTATATTAAAGTACAAGTTGCAGAAGGCCACATATTCTCGCACGAATTCGAAATTTGGCCTCGAGCGACGAAGGAGCGAGTGGACGAACGAATGAGTGCGAGAATAGCCTTCTGCAACGTGTGATTTATACTATTTTCTCGATTTTAACTTTTATTTAGGTTTTTTTAATTGTTTTGTGGTCGTTGTTAGTTAGGGGATTTTTCTCGCAAAATGTCAGTTGGCAACACAAAATGACAATATTTGTTATCCTGCACAAGTACAACCTGAACTGCACTTTTACACATTAAACTTAAAATTTTGCATTAAAATGCATTGTTGGAGCAAACTTTATATTACAAAACAATAATAAAGGCTTCATTTTCAATAAAAGTAATGAATTTGAGGTTATTAATCAGTTTGACATTTTGGGGGTACCAATACTTAAAAACTAAATGTTACCAAAAATCGTTTAAGAATGAGCTTCATTCTTCAACGATTTTGCGTGCGAGAATATGACATTCTTACATAAAAATCGAGAAAATAATTTTCAAATCGATTTTAAGCGAAAACGGGGTATGTTAACGAAGTGCAATAAGATGATCTTTTTTATGTGCAAAACTCCAAAATTTCATAATCTGACATCAAATTCTGGTACAAAATACGTACAAAAAAGTTAAAGTGGTTTTAACCCCACTTTCTATCAATCTGACCCAAACCTCATGAAATTTTTTAAATTGTTATTGTTACGTCTTATTGGTCATAAAAAGTTTAATTAATTCCCTAAATTTCACTTTTCTATCTTTAACGGTTTTGGAGATATTAAATAAAAACCATCTTCAGGGGCTTTCCTTTTGGGGGCTGTAGCTTCCTTAGGAGGCATTTCTTGACCTATGTTTATAGGGACTTTTTTTCTTATTTTTGCACGTAGAATCTGCTGTTAAAGTATGGTGCACTAATTTCAGGACACCCTGTATAATGGATATCCACGATACCTTCCCATGGGATACAATTTTTAGTAGAGCCTTTCTTGTGCAGTGGGATCATAATGGATCTGTCCATATTCTGTTGCATATGCAACAGAATATGGACAGATCCATAATCATAATATTATGATCCCACTGCATAAGAAAGGCTCTACTAAAAATTGTAGGGTATCCCATGGGAAAGTATCGCCTAGAATTTTTTTGACGATCCTCTTTTATTGACGATTTTTTAGACGATATCATCAAATATTGATGACATCGCCGATAAAGTTGTTTAAAATATAAGATCGCCTGTTATTTTTGTTGACGATCGTCAATAAAAATACGCGATCATCATTGTAAAATTGATGATCATCTAAATAAAATGACGTCTATCTAAACGTTGAAGATCGTCATACAAATCAGGCGATCGTGTATTCTAAGCAATCGATCGTCTTCAGAAAATGAAGATCGCCTTTTGCAATCGTCTTTAAAAGGAGTAATCGTGAATTTCACAATCTTAAAACTAGGCGATCTCTTTTAATAAACAATGATTTTTAAATTAATGTATAAATTATAATTACCTATTAATAGAAAGTATACTTACTATAGTAACTTACACTAACTTACACTATATACTATAGTAACTTAGGTACACTATATAAATATATATTATAATTTGTATAATTATTCTATAATTTTTAAATTCTTTTAATTAAAAAATTTAAATGGAAATTTTTAGTAATTTTTAAATCATTAATATACAAGGTGATCACTTAAAATTGGGCAAAAATTTAAGGGGCGATTTCTTCGGTTATTTTTGGAATATATTGTGCTTTGATGATTTTTGAAAATCCGTTTTGTTTTGAATTAGTTTAATTATAATTAATTTACATATATGTTACTCTTTAACAAAAAATTTAGGGGTGATTTTTAAATTAAATAATTATTTAATGCTTTCAAAAATTTAAAACTAGAATTTTTACAATATTTTATATATTATAATTTTTGAACAGAAGCTTGATAAAAATTATATTATATATACATATAGGTATATAGAAGCTAAAAATCTATAAAAAATATTTTTTATGGCAAAAGGTCCCTTTTATTTAAAAAATATTAAAATGGGGGGTCGGGTTAAAGTGAGTTAAAATTAATTTAGCTTAATTTTAAGAAATTATTCTCTTTTCTTATTTATTTTCAACCATTAACAATTAGTACTTAAAATTCGACGAATGACGATTACATATCACAATTGTATTTTAAATTCTTATTTTTAAAACAATGTCTTAAGAAATTTCTATTGTGATCGTCATTGGTCGATATTTTCTCGTTTTTCGAATTCAAGTTGATCGTCTTTTGAAGACGATCGTCTTTTGAGGCGATCATTACTTGGACGAATTTTCGTCTTTTTTTGACGATCTTAGACGATACTTTCTCATGGGATGGTTAATCTGCAAATGCATTTAAAGATAACTTTGTGATAATTATCCATAATAATAATAATTTATTATTATAAATTATTATTCTAAGGTATCTTTGACAAACGTGATTTACTATTAATAATAAAGAAAACAAACTATTTTGTAAATAAATATATCATTAATTTCCTGCCTATAAAGATAAATGTGATATACATATATATGTAGATCTAAATATGGATACAAAATAATTTTGATATTATTAATTAATAATAATATTAAATGTATATCAAAAATTACAATTGCTCTTACACTAAGTATCCGATTATATAACAATATTTAAATATCAAAATCGTCTCCGAATTCATCATCAGTTTTTCGATTCAAATTTTCATTATTTGAAAACGATGGTCTTTCAGATTTAAAGTTTCCCAAATCAAAATCTGCATTATCTTCAATTCCAATCAAATCCGAATCTCCACTAGTTATGCTAAAAATAAACATACATAAAAAATTTAATAGATACTCGTATAAGGCCGCGAGCATGTTGGAGCTGTGATAAACGATAATTATCTATATATCTTTTAAAAGCGTCGTCGCTATCGTTACTAGCGATTAAACGTGTTCTAAAGACGTTGCACCGGTAGTTCCAAGGGCCTTATCGTTTAACACAGCTTCAACATACTCGCGGCCTAAGTTATATCATATAACGCAACGCGGTTGCTATGGTTTAGTCCAGTTTGTATGTGCAAAAAATAATCGAAACAAAATAAATCGTGAAACTTCCACAATTTGCAAACTCGGAATAGAGTCATTCCAAATAAAAACACCAAATGGGGTGCGCTGCGTGATTTTTTATTTTGATGAAAAAATTTGAGGATGATCTTTTAGGTGTCAAATATGAAAATCCGTTGCCGTTTTAATTTTTTGTTGCTTTACTTTTATTTGGCACCCCTTAGAAGTCTGAAATAGTGTCAATTTCTTACTCTCTTATAGTGGGCCAGAACTTTTTTCTGTGACAAATATTGAAATAATTTTAATTTTGTTTTACTGTCCAGTAAGTGTGTTTTCGATATAAATTATTATTATCCAATTAGTTAATCTCATAAAAGAATGGTAAACCACCAAAGATTCATGATAATTTGCCAATTTTTGTGATTTTTGTCTGGCTCCTGTGCCTATTCTACTGAATTTAGAAGGTTCATTTTTTTCAGGTATAAAGTACTTATATAATAGAAAACGTAACTATTATTTTAAGTTTCTAGACTATCAATTTCTTTATTAAAAAAATTATTGAAAATTGATAATTCTCAAAATTAGCCAATTTTGCCCTCAGAAATCATTATGTTGAGGAAAAAATAAAAATCTGAAACTTTCAGGAAATGTAGTCCCCACCTTCATCTTTTCAGTCCAGTTAGTCTTGTTTTGTTATTTTTATTCCTTTAAAAGATATATTAATTTTTTTAATGGCCGTTTAGTAGCGATATTGTTAGTTTTATTTATAATTTAAAATTTAGATGGCTTTCATGTTTGGTGGAGAAGTGTCAGAACTGTCAAAAATATTTCATAAATATTATTTGTGCGTATTTCTTTGGTAAATTTTGTTAATATCACATGTGGCGTACCTCAGGGTTCAATTTTAGGACCCTTACTTTATTGTATTTATACATGCAATCTATCAACCTCAGTTTTAAATTGTAAAACATACTTCTACGCTGACGACACACAGTTGCGCTATTCCTTCCCACCTACTCACCTTAACATTGCCAACACCGACATTAATGATGACTTATTTCGATTAGTGAAAGAATCAAACAGGCACCAGCTTACAATAAACTCAGAAAAATCATCAGTCTTAATATTTGGCAAAAGCAGTGGACAGATTGAAAGTAATATTCAAATATCAGTAGACAACAAAGACCTATCGTGTATTAATCATGCAAAAAACCTAGGTGTTGTGATGGATAATAAATTAAAATTTGATAATCACATAAATAAATGTCTTAGAAGTGCATATGGTAATCTCAAACTTCTTTACCCTCACAGACAGGTTCTTCCGAAGAACCTAAAAATTAAATTAACTGATGCACTGGTACTAAGCCATTTTAACTTTTGTGATGTTGTGTATGGACCATGTTTGGATCAAATTACAGCTAATAAAATCCAAAAAGTACAAAAATCATGCTTACGTTATATATATGGCATTCGTAAACATGAGCCAATATCGTACAAACTAGGAGAAGCAAAGTGGTTGAGTATGGAAAAGAGAAGAAACTTGCATGCTGCTTCACTTTATCATACTATTATATTGAACCGCACCCCAATCTATTTATACAATAAAATAACATATCGCACGGATGTCCATAGTTTAAACTTAAGGTTTAAAGGCAAAATTTCACCGCCATTTCACCGCACAGCCATGTTTCGCAAATCATTTACCTATAATATTTATTCTTTATACAATGGACTATCTCCAAATCTGAAAACATTAAAAATTGTTGGTTTTAAAAAGAAATTAAGAGAATCTTTGTTATAAACAAATTAATTATGTTAATTTATCCCCACTCATCTTCTTTTTTTAAATTTTTTTTTTTGTTACATGCTTTAATATATAGATTATAAGTTCCAAAATATAGTTAGGTATACTAATAATATTCCTAGACGAATAGAGTATTCTCTTTGTTAACACTTGCAATATGTTCTTTCTTTATTGGTTATTTCTAAAACTAGTTATTATATTTATATTATTATTTATATAGAATTTGTTTTTATTTTTTTTTTCTTCTAATTTACCAAATAATAAAATAATTTTAGTTTATTTTATAATTTAAGTTTAATAGTTCTACAAAATAGGGCTAAATTAATATCAGTTTTACTGCCTTTTAGTCCTTTTTATTGTCAATTATACTAGTAAATATTTTATGTATTCTTGTAAATCTGTTAATATTGACAATAAATAAACAATTTATTATTATTATTATTATATAACATAATATGTCATATTATGTTATAACACTGAGAAAAAAGTTTATTGCTCCCAAATAAAAAAAATATTTAAATATGGGACAAGGGTACAGTTTATTTATCCTAAATATATTTTTATTCCAGACACATAAAGTTTTACTAAAGTACATTTATCGTTATTATTTCGACTATTTAGAGGTAATAAACAATATATTCACTATTAATAAAAGTATTAGGTACACAGTTTATTTGTCCCATTTTTTTCTCAGTGAATATATATATTATAACATAATATATTATATAAAACTTTTTAAAATCACCAAAGGAATACCACAAATAATAATTATGAAATATTTTTGACAGTTCTGATATTTTTGGTAGTTACTTATGTTATATTTTATGTATTGAAAAATCATAGTAAATAGTAAAAAGTTAAATTTATGTATTTTAAATGTTAGTGTTGGAAAAAATTAACACAATCTGTAAATACTTCTTTAAATTTTAGTTTTTAGGTAACTGGTTAAAATAAAACATGTTATAATAAAGGGGTTTATTTAGAATATTTTTTGGTTTTTGCTTATTTTTAACAATTTAAAACTTCTCAGAACTTAAATATTTTCTATAAGAAAGAGGTACACTCGGAGGTACAAAATTATGATATGTTCTTGCATTTTTAATTGCAATTAAATTTATGAATCTCGAACACTCCGTCATTTATTACACTTGCAAACATTTTGAAATCACGGTTTAAATACGCACAAATAAAATTTATGAAATATTTTTGACAGTTCTGACATTTCTCTACCAAACATGAATTGACAAAGTCAAAGCCATCTAAATTTTAAATTATAATTTATATATAAATAAAACTAACAATATCGCTACTAAACGGGCATTAAAAAAATTAATATATCTTTTAAAGGAATAAAAATAACAAAATAAGACTAACTGGACTGAAAATATGAAGGTGGGAACTACATTTCCTGAAAGTTTCAGATTTTTATTTTTTCCTCAACATAATGATTTCTGAGGGCAAAATTGGCTAATTTTGAGAATTATCAATTTTCAATAATTTTTTTAATAAAGAAATTGATAGTCTAGAAACTTAAAATAATAGTTACGTTTTCTATTGTATAAGTAGTACTTTATACCTGAAAAAAATGAACCTTCTAAATTCAGTAGAATAGGCACAGGAGCCAGACAAAAATCACAAAAATTGGCAAATTATCATGAATCTTTAGTGGTTTACCATTCTTTTATGAGATTAACTAATTGGATAATAATAATTTATATCGGAAACACACTTACTGGGCAGTAAAACAAAATTAAAATTATTTCAATATTTGTCACAGAAAAAAAGTTCTGGCCCACTATAAGAGAGTAAGAAATTGACACTATTTCAGACTTCTAAGGGGTGCCAAATAAAAGTAAAGCAACAAAAAATTAAAACGGCAACGGATTTTCATATTTGACACCTAAAAGATCATCCTCAATTTTTTTCATTAGAATAAAAAATCATGCAGCGCACTTTTAAATTCATTTTTGGTGTTTTCATTTGGATCGACTCAATAACTCGCCAGGGAAAGTTAACTTTCCCTGGCGCGATTTTCTGAAAGGTCATAAAATTTTATTTAAGGATAATAAAATTTTATTATCCTTAAATAAAATTTTATGCGCAACTTTTGCATGTATCTGCATTTAATTATTTATTATTTTTTTCACCAATAATATAGAGTTCCTATACAACATAGGTTTCTTTATTATTTCTTCGAATTTGCAAAATGGAAGGTTAATTAATTTTTAGTCACCAATATTTTTTGTAAAGGCGCTGATATTTTTTCATTGAAAAAAAAGTAAACAAAAACAAATTCGGTGCGTGTTGTCGCAAGCGCGGAGTCTTAAAAAACGCAAGTTTCCAAACGCTTTGGTGTTCTTGAAGAAAGCGCTTAACGATGTTACAACATATGTGTCAAGAATTACGAATTACGGTTATGTTTAATATTCTTCAAATTATTTAAATAATTTAAAAAACCAACAAAATTGTAATGGTTTTATAACAAGTAAAAAAAAATAAGTGTAATTTTTTTTTTATTTTTACATAGAATTTATTTGTAAATATTGACACGCCTATTTTACCTACCAATATACCATTTTTATTACAACCGTGACGTCACGCTAAGAGAATTTATCGATTTTTAAAGTAATTTTTAAGGAAAAAATAATAGCAAAAATCGTTTTTAGTGACTAATATATTAAATAGAAGTGGTTTCACACTTATTTTCGCCCAGTTTTTTTCCTAAATAATCGGTTATTACTCATTAAATACCTATGAAAAATATTAAAAAATATCAAATACAAATTTGTTAAACCAATTTTTTTTGTCAAAAATGATATCGGCTGTTTGTTTCCATAATATTAAAATAAATATAGGTATTTGCGCATTCGGCCAAGATGGCAAAAAGCTGCTGTTGCTGGATGGTCAAAAACTCTGATTTAAGCTTCCTATATATTACCCTAATGATGATA